TTACGGTCTGAAAACGGTATGCGATGTTACTTCATTTGGAAGAACGTCTCGGTGATGTTTTAGATGAAAAATATGCGGCATTTCCGAACGGTAGAATGTACTTTTTTTTTTTCTAAATATATTAATTCAGGGTTGTTAAATTTAACGAGCACTATAAATAGACGTTTCTTTTAAAACCGTGATAGCGAATATAACGATACAGGTACAGAGAGATAAATGAAAATTCAAATTTTGTTGCAAGCGACGATCGGTATAATGTAAAGAACAGTGTGATTGTTTCCGAAATAAATATCGAGAGATACAAGAAATTGCAGAGTACATTTGACAATAAGTAAAATGATTCATACTCAAAAATTTCGCACGCAGTCGAGCTTAACAGTCGTAAAAAATATTCTTAAGAATTTCACATGCAACGCAGAAATTCTGCTCTGAATAATTCATGAATATCCTCATTTTCTGATAAGGTGAACGTTCTCATACAAGCAAAAAAAAATATTTCTAGCGTTACAGTATAAATACACCTTTCATTCTATTGAAAAAACAGTCTTCAAATTTATTACCGCTTGGTACCTAATAATATATATGTATGTACGTTTAACGTTAACGTTTGAAATTCTTTGATATTCTAACCGATGGTTACAATTCATAAGAGATAAATTATTCTTAAAACATAGTACGAACGGTGCGTTCAACTTTATTTCTATGAAAAATCGCAGCCAAAAGAACGATACGTCTATGTCGAGCGTTAGACCCGACCATGCAGGCATTAAAGTCTCCGTGCTGTATCTTTAACTAAGGAGAATCGCTCTAACAGTGCAACAGACATTTCCATATACATACCACCATAGAGAAGATAATTAGGTGGTCTGCTTTACGTGACCCATACTGTATAATATAACATATTTTTTATCTACTAAAAGATTACTGTTAATTCTTCAAAACTTAGAAACTTCTCCTCGACATGTGCCAGAAAAGATTGAACCGAGTGACTATCAACGCATGTTAATTCTTCTTTTTTAAAGAAACAGGGTAAAAGCCGAAGAAAAGAATTGCCGTGATTGTCAAATTGATAAATTAATAAAATTTCATAATTTCAAAATTAATAAAAAAATGATTCTTTTCACATTTTAATAGGTTCGATCTCTTGATAGAAAAATATTTTTAAATAATTCATACTTCACGCGGTGCCTGATACTTTTAGCCAAGGTTGCGTATATTTTTCTTCTTTTAATAAAATTCGTATTTCAAATTAATAAAAAATGGTCGCTTTCACATTCCAATAGTTTCATTTTCTTCTGATACAGAAATAGTTTTAAATAATTCATGCGGTGCCTAATACTTTTAGCCAAGGTTGTCTATATATACAGTAGTGCACGCATAAGGGTCCGCATTTTTGCACAATTAAGCGTCCGTCGCTATCCCCAGCAATTCTTGGAAATGGGACATCGAGCGTGCCAAGTGAAACAAAGTAATTCGAATATCGACTCCTGAATGCGAACAACTGACACTTGATATATCGGTATCCCACTGAGACACATCTCCTCCCTTTTGTTTAGTTAAATTCGCAGAAGTCACCTTAAGCGTCCGCATTCGGTCCCGACTTATGTGTGCACTACTGTACTCTTTTCTTTCCTCTACGAAAAGAGTTTCAGACGGAAGATTTATGTCGTACTGTATCGCGAAGAACATCACGAAAAAAGTGACGCTTTTATCCATAAGAAGATACGAAGGAGTTTCTCTCACGCGCAAATGCAATTACAGTGGAGTGGTACTCGAGAGCAATAGGCGCACCATAATCCGCGAGGAAATGTGGATAACTGTACCAAGGGAGCCGGTTACAAAAGTTGCCTGTATAAAGACACAAGTTCCAGCAATCGGCTTCTCCTAACTCTACAATATGTAACAAGCGACACAATGGTGCAAGAGTCGCATTAATGGTCCTGCGCCATATGCTGGACAGATCGATATAACTTTCATGATTAATGGATCCCGCTGATAGGCGTCGTGCAAACGAAGTGGAACGAGAAAGTAAAGGGTCTACGGTGAACAAAACCTGCGCATACCGTCGCTGATTCGTTCGACGACGATGCATACTTTTCTCCACTTTCTTTTCCATGAAACACACGTACACACGTTGGAACCACCGGTCAGTTTTGCGCCATTAGCAACATTCGCTCATCACGCCGGATTAGACACGATTCACGAACCACATTCTCGATATTTTCATCCTTCGGAAAATCGTGAATTTTCCCAATGAATATTGCGATAGGACATTCGAAGCTAATTGGATGATTTCTGTAGATCACTTTTCACAACGACTAACTCCACACGATTTTACCGTCTGGAATAAAAATATAGCTGTAATAAAATCACGTAGCTGTAGAAGTATCTCGAGGAGAAAATGTTATTTGATAATTGAACACCTTTATGTTAATACACTTTATAAATCAACCGTTTTCACACAGACACGCTATCTGTTATATTATCTCGGGAAATCATCGTTCGGGTACAATTCGAATAAAGAAAGCACAACTGTGAAAGAGAATCGAACGAAACTATTTTTTTAAATCTTGTATCATGTTAAATCCCGAGCTTCTGCTTTCTTCGGATTCTCCTTTCGATAGTAATTAGAACGAAATTCGACGTGTTAACGTTGATAATCGGACAGTGGGTCGTTAACGTGATCTTTTCACATGGAAATCTAAAACACAGCCGAGGTCTATCGTTGAAGGATCCGCGGTAAGAATTCTATCTACGCCGTTTACGTAGTGAAACAGGAGGGAAACTAGATGAAAGGAAACAGAAGAGGCGCAAAAACAGCGAAAGTTGACGTGGCCATCTCTATTCATTACCGCAGACAGCGGTGAAGAAAGAAAAGAAAGAAGAAGAAAAAATAAAGAAAAAAGTAATGGAACTGTGAGATCCGCGACGTATTCACGAATAGAGAGAATCCTTGTCATGGTGAAAACTGAATGACTGGTGCCGCACAGTGAAGATTGAAATGCGACGTCGTACGACTTTAATCTTGAACCGACGCGACGCGACGACGGGAAAATAAGCTGGCTAACATAATTGGCAGGTTGAGGTTAATAGGTTCTATGGCAGGCTAATTTGATAACTTTTTACTATGCCGGCGTGAGTCATAGCAGACGTGCCGCACAGCGCAGGTGTATTGTACGTGATAATTATACGTCTGTTAACAAGATTATGAAGCGTTCCACGGTACCGTACCCTCTAATGACGAGAATAGCGGTTGGATGAAACGAAGGGAACTCTTTTCGTTAGGTCGTTGCCGATCCGCGCAGCCACCAGGACAGGGTTAATTGAGGATGATTACAGAATGAAATAATTCATAATGTCACCGGTTTTAATAATGGGGATATTAGTCGTGGATCATCGGTGACACTCACTCGCGACGCGAGGTTTATTTGAGAATCTCTCGAGTGAGAAATGGCTAGAAATGATTCATAACGTCACGAGTTTTAATAATGAAGATGTCACACGGAGGGATTCGCGTTGAGAGAAGCCCTCTGGTGGTTTACAGATGACCCTTGCAATGTAAAACATGTGGTTAAGTAGCATGAGAAGACACTTTTCTCTCTCTCTCTCTCTCTCTCTCTCTCTCTCTCTCTCCGTTCTCCTACTTTTCAATCTTTCTCGAAACGACGAATTTTATACAGTTACGAAGAAAGAAAAAAGGTTCAATTATTCGAATCTTCAACTATCGAATGAAATTATTACACGGCTATCAATTAAACTGAATGCGATTAACCTAACGCCAGTTCGAAAAGGACAATTTTCGAGAAGAGATTGTAGAAACTAACAGCGTGACTAACTTATTTTTACCGATATACCCGTACCAATTTCGAGGAATAAATGTAATTTAAGCATTTTTATAAAAAAGAAAACATTTTGTCTGTCGCTTTTTCGAAACTGGACAGATTGGGAAAGATCTATACCAGGCGTGTCCAACCTGCTGCCCTGAACAGCACAATGTCGTAAACTTTTAACATTATTATGTGATTTTTAGCGATATTTTTCACGACTCAATTGCATTATAATAAAAAATATTAAAAAATAAAGGAGGTTTTGTTACTTATGTACAATTAACAGTATTATATATTTCGTATGGCCTAGGCAAATCGAAAGGTTGGACACCCATGATTTGTACGAATGTAACAGGTGTCCTGACACTTATGAACGGACAGTGTACAGCTCATTTGAAACACACAACGTGTTCGTCTGAGCACACCCAGACCAGTTGACAAAAAGACTAATGGATGCAAGAATTAAATCATGCCACACACACCTCTAAATTCCATCGAATAGTCAGCCAACTATCCGTAATACCGTTAACCCGTCGATACGAATTAGATATTAGTATCGAAACTAATCCGCCAATGGGAATATTGGTCAATGGAGGCGTCGCTAATAAAACACACCTCGCACGTAATAGCGATGCACGTATAGTATACACATATAAACGCGTGTGAGCCACGTCGTATCTACCGCTAGGCTCTTTCTTTTTGGCCGCCGCGACTCGATACCGTACGACGGCTAACGAACGGCTTGCATACAAATTTGCCAGAGTTTTAATAAACGAAACCATGCCGGCGTGCAAAGTGTTATACACCGTTGTAGTCGAGCGACCTTCGTGTCGGATGGTCTCACTCAACGGATCATCGAAGAGGATCGAGCGATTTCCCTTCGCTGAAAGTGTCGAAATTGCTCCATTAACCCTTCCATGCATAATTCTGTGCTCTCGTGTTTCAGTTTCTTAAGCGATTCGTCCAACGATCCAAGGAGAAATAATTAATTAGAAGAGATCTACGTATGTACGTGTCTTGATATTCGACGATGAAAATATTCCAATTTTCAATGTTCACTCGTGCAAAATCGATCTGCGAGTAAACACGAGTAACGTGTAACTTGTGAAACAATCTTGCAATATTATAAAATATCGAAATTTCGGGGACAGAACGGAAAAAGCAATCTCTCACCCTTCTTATCCTTTATAGAAGACGTAGAAACAGTCGATACTTGATCTGGAACATCCACAGCACGTTCTTCTTTACCAGATACAATTCCACTGAGATCTCCTTTGAACTCCTCCTCCTCCTCCTCCTCCTTCCTCACGAAAGCTTCTTCTTTCTTGTTGTACTCGATCGTGCCACTTTGCTCGTCAACTTTCTTCCACTCTGAGAGCTGTTTGTTGTCCGGCTGCATGGCGAAACCCTCGAGACCGGGAATGTTACGAATGTCAGGCACCAAAGTGTCCTCGTCGTCGTCCTCTCTGATCCGCCATTTGGCTCTTTGGTGATTAGGCACGGTGGTTGTCGCGTTGTTCTCGCGCGCACCGATTTCACTCACAGAATCGACCACTTCCTCTACCAACTCCTCCTCCTGCAGCATGTACTCTCTTCTTTCGTTCGGATTCTGATATACCCGGTAAGGCCCTACCAGACCGACGATGCCCCGTGGCACCGACACGTTCCTCTTCCAATCCGCTTGCAGCTGATCAAACTCTCCCAAGTGGTTCGTGTACATTTCACCGAGACTGAAGAGTCGTCGAGGTTCTGGTAGCTGTTTCGACGCAACCTGCAACCACCGACGAAGTTCCTCCTGTCTCGAACAGATCTCAACTTGAGCCTGTTTCTCCTCTGCCGATTGCTCCTTGATCGGTTGCAGCTTCCTCTCGAGAAAATCTGTTTCTGGTAACTGGATCTTTTTCGGTTTTCTCACGACGCTGTACAGAGGATCCTCATCTTCCGCCTCGGGCGACGTTGACTCTTGCGACGTTACTTTGTTCTCCGTTGGCGGTAACCAAACATACGGATTACCCCTTTGCACGTTTTTCCTCGTTTTCTCACTTTTCACCGCGCTTATCACTACCACGTTGCTCTTCACACCAATTGGCAAGTTGTTACTCGCGGGTTGCTCGTTGCTATCCAGAACACTGTAAATCGGTTCACGCGTCGCTGTTTGTATCCACTTCGGACGATTCTTACCTCTGGCAGATGCTCGAACCTTCTCTGTATCAGCTGTTGTAGATGCTTTTCGTTCTGCGTTTGCAACGGGAATGTCTGTCAGTTCGGCCACCATGGTCAGGTGTTTCGATTACGATCTAGGTGATCAGGTTTACCGGATGTCACGTTCAAATCGTGACGAACATATTCGACGGTGATATATTATTTTTCTTTCTTCTCGATGAATCGAAATATCTGTGGGTGTAAGGTGAACGTGTTCGACTGTCGTAAATTAGTTCTTCTTCAACTGATCCTATTCAAAATTCCAACTATACTCTTTTCAAATACGATCTTTGGAAATTTTGGTAAAAATACAGTCGTATTAATACACTGTAACGCTAAATTTCGTCTCACCCATCGAGAAACCCTTTACGTATCGTACGTTTTCTCAAAAGGTAATCGAACAAAGCTACCTGCTCTTCAAAAACTACTTGCAACTCTGAAAACGAGACACCTTGCACACGAGAATCGAGATTACTTACGACACCGATCACACTAATCAGACACTTTTTTATATTTCTCCACCTGTCTCTGTACGTTTCGACAAATCCGTCGTCCACAAGTGCACCCGATCGAACACAAAAGGTAAATGTCGTTTGTTGGCTTCAGTTTTACCAGAAACAATTCCTGTCGACGTGGAAGTGGCTGGAGGTCGATCGTATGGATCTGGCTCTCGTTCGTGACCAGGATGACGAAAAAGGTTTCACATCCATCGTTGTAAGCGATAGCTTTTACCTTTTCCATCATCTGGGTTAGGTGATTTTCCACAACGGAGAAAAAAAGAAGAACTGTCCACTGACGCAATCCCTCGTTAATCAACCCGCTCTCGCGGTTACGCGTCATTATACCAACAGAATCTCTCTGCCAGACTCGTTACTCTAATGCAACAAGTTCACAGAAGCGAACAGGAATGATCCTCGATGTGCTATCTGTTCTCTTAGTTTTATACAATGGATAAAAGGGAACGGTAGACACTCGGTAGATAATATGATAATACGAGTTGCAACTTCTAGTTTCAACGCGAATCTTGTTGTACAGGTGAGATAAAGTCGGAGTCTCTCGAGTTGGTGAAAGCAATGTTAAGACTTGATAAAAATGTCGAAACATATGCAGAGTGTTTCAAAAGTATGTTGACACTTAGACGAAGAATTTACGCGTGTATATTTCTTTTTCTGCCGATCACCTGAAGAAGATAGCAAGAATGCGTGGACAATGATGGTGAACAAGTGAAGAGAGACACTCTTTGAAGAGAAGATGTATTGCCTTGTCGGTTCTATATCTCTGAAAAATCTTACTATCATATGTTGTGTATCTATAAACATCTCGTTTTTTTTTTGTTTTTTGAAGCAACATGTATTAATGTTATTCCTCTCATAATTTTCACTTCGTACATCTCCCTACGTCATTTTTTCTCCTCGTGTATTGCAGGTACATTCGTACGCATCTCTCGCGGGCGTTTCTTAACACGTTGAATGCCGGACCAATTCTATGTAACTTGTCCGAAATGAATTTTTTATTTTAATACAACACATCCCAATATGCATAACACATAGGATGGCACCTAATATCGGACATTAGTTATATCTGCAATAATTGAAACGCTGCCGAGCCGTTATTCTGCGTATCTCCTAGATGAGACGCGTTTTCTACGCATTTCAGTCGCGTGTGCACAGGTAGCGAGATTTATTTAAGAAAAACCTTAAGCGTCCGGCGCTAGGGGAACTCCCCTGTGTGACGCGTTAGATGAAAATTTTTACAAATATTCCAATTTATTCGAATTAAATGCTTTTACTAATCTCGGCACCGCCAGTCACCGATCACCACCCACGGCATTACAAACCTAATTGCAGTCAAATACGACCATTGGCAACGGCGATTGTATCTCGATAGTATAGGGTAATTTCGGGAGAGATGGACCGGCGGGAGAGACGGACAATTATTTCCTACATTATCCGGCAGATATGGAAGAAAAAACACCAAGAGCCACGCTCGGTCGCTTTCCGTAAAACAAAAGAATACTGACGCGTTCCACATTTGCCGGACAATGTAGGAAATACTTGCCTGGTCCGTCTCTCCTGCCGGTCCATCTCTACCGGAATTACCCTATGTTAACCGACACGTGATAAACAAGAGTTGTTTCACCATGGAGGGACCAACTGCTGTCGTCGGAAAATTGCGGATGTCGAGAGGACCCGTTAACCTTCGTAGGCTATGTGTCGTAAAGTGGAAACGCTGCTTTTTATGTTCCCTCGTGATAACCGTACGTTTAGAACAACGTGACTGAAACTTCGAAACCCTTTATTCCGTGGCAAAACTGCACAAGAGATACGCGAAGACTCGCTCTCCCGTTGAACAGGTGTTAGAGGTCGAAGCATTCTGTTCGATAATCACTGGCTGGCTACACCGATGTTACAACGGCAAATTCTTCCGCGTTTAGCTTTAGGCGAGCATGCTTGTCCGTAAATAGTCGGGACAGTAGTATACCGCTAGAAAAATTGATAAACGTCGGCCATTGTAGAAACTCACATATCATCGCGACCTGCTGTTCCACACAGGGTGTCCGATGAGTCCCCGGCCGGCGCTTTCAACGAAAAATATGGCCAGAAAGAAACGTAAATTTGTTAAGAAATTTCCTCCCGGAACTTCTTCTTTCTCTGCACCTCTCGAGAAAGAAGCGTGCAAAATGTTCCGCGGTAATGCTAAGAACAACGAAGAGAAATATCAAGAATAATGATGATAATTCAGAGATGCTTCAGAGGATGAATCTGAGAATTTTTTTCTAAATCGAATAAAATGAACGTAACATTCTCATCTACCCCGGACGGTAATTGGTAATATTCCTGATGAAAGAAAAACCTATGGACGTTACTTCGATCGTTCTTGTAACATTTATTTCGACACCCAGTAGCATCTGCGCGTATTCTTCAAGTCTGCAAGAGCGCAGTAGAAGCGCGGAGATACGCGTTGCTCTATGACTGTAATATTATGATTATCCAGACATGATATTGGTAATAACGTGACAACAGCAATACCGGACACTTTTAATCCGACAATTATCTTTGAAAAATTTGCAGAAGAAGAGAAAAGGGTGAAGAAAAGAAGAACGTTTGATGAGAAAATTGCAGTGCGTCTTCCGGTTTAGTTATTCCTCTTCTATACTTGTTTACGCGATGTACCATTATTATGACATCAAGCTCTTGCTAATTTTTAACAGGTTTTCAATACATCTCTCGAAACAGGATGAAAAGGCACATGACACGTTTGCCCGTCGCGAGGCGAACCTCAGTGACAGACGAATGGTTCAAAGAACTTGCATTCTAATGGATGTCATCCTGAGAGACGTGCGCGATTCTTGAAACTTGCCGTACAGTTACGTAGTTGTATGGTAAAACGACACGGTACTGTTATTTCGAAAAATTATACACGGACATCGGATTCACCTGACACAGACCTATAGCTAAACTTGCGTTCCAGTAAAGCTAATGACGGTTTCACCTTACAAGCGAAGTTTTTCATTCTCTTCCTCGCGAGACCGATGATGATCGGCCGGTCGCCGCAATTACACGTATCCGCGGCCACTTAGCGCGCCGAGTTTGTACGAGAAAAATGATTCAGGATACAAAAGGCGTGTAATTCGGTGAAAAATTGTGTGATTTAATCGCGTCGTATGACCACGTTGAATTTCGCAGCGTGACGGTGAGTCTAGATCTCCGCTCTGTTAAAGACGGTAATTGTTAATTCTCGTTTTCTATTTGATAACAAAAGCTTCTTTTTTCCTTTCTTTCTTCAGACCCTGTATATTCGACATGAGGTTTCTCTCTCTCTCTCTTGCTCTTCTCCGTTATATTTCTCAATGAAACTGCTCGCAGATAACGAGATGATAATAATTGCGATAAATTTGGTAATTAATAAAATAATTTGTTAATCGAGAATATCTCTATACCTGTTGGTTTATTTAAAATTGCTGAGAAGATACGCTTTCTTCAAGTATATTAATTCAACGAGAGTGAAGTTTTAAGTGAAAGATGAGGAACGTGCGTATACGAAGTATAGGGTCGGTGATCGATAATGAATTAAAATTGCCTCTTGGTAAATTCCGCCTTGGTTACACGTGAACGAAGAACGAACGTGTGTTTTACGTTTTACAGTTTACGAGCTCTGTGTGTAGAGAAACTTGTAGGGATCGGGGATGCTGTTGCGCAAAGTTCGAGAGGAGGCGTCGTTTATGCATGCACCTGTTAGAAACTGGACATCGAAAGACTTTCAGAGTGTTCCGCGATGCACATGACTGTTGCCATTTTAAAAATAACCTCTTACATCGAACACCTTCCGTAATAAGAATTTCTATCGGTGACGTTTACATTTACTTTCGCGATATCGCTTGATTGAAAGGTGAATATAATGTACAGTTAGCGATGATAGTGATCTGGGAATATTTGGAAATGTTTCTTGTGAATATATGTTAAACGACTGAAAAAATGATAAACGATCCATGGATTTTATGTGAATCTATATGGAACGTTAAAGACATTTGTTTTCGTGTATACAATGATAAAATGATGAAAGATTCGTCGATTTTTGTATCAAGAAATTTCGTTTCCATTGTATATAATTCAGAAAAAGATCTTTTTCTAACAGTAAATTACGGAGTTTGTAGAACGAGTAATCGTTTTCTCGATTCAGTTTCGCTTTGACACTTCAAGCGCAGCGACAGAACTATTACCAGGCATTGAAATCACCAGTAGCGCGGTACCAATAGCAGCGCTAATATTATTGCTACGGTATTATTAGAAAATTGTTACTACGATAAAATATTAATATTATAGTATT